TTCATAATGCCCTTTTGACAGATTTGGAAATCATGTTCATCTTCCTTTATTTCCACTTAGACAAAATAATACGAGCAGATTTGTTAGAAGCACTAGAGCCTTTCTACTCGCTTTTCGTCTGAACCGCTTTCCTTACAGACAGGATGCAGTATTTCAGTGCTGATCCAGAGCATACAACTAATGTCATTCAGCAGTTTAAGGACATGCACAAATACCAGTGGCTTCCCAGCCTTTCAGAAGTTAAAGCTCTAGAGGAGTAACTTCTCCATAATTTTTCCAGCATAGAAAATAAATTATTAATACAATTTTTTCAGTCTAAGCCAAGATGTGTAAACTTGAGGCATGGAAGCAGATGGAAGGAAAGCTGCTCCTTTTTAGGTTGAGACAGAATATGGAGTAGGAATAACTCTTGATTATTACTTTTTTTTAAAAAAAAAAAGTAATCTCTAAACATCACAAGTAAAAGAGTTTGGATGCTTTTAACTTATTAGCAAATGTATATTGCTAATTGTCTGTGATCAGACTTAAACAAATGGTGGTATCCACGTGGATAGTCAGTGTCCCCTCATTGCTGTCACTGAATAATGAACTGTAGGGGGTTCACAGAAACCTTCTACATTTCCTGTGGTTAACTCATAGTACAAGATGGAAAAGCAGTGTTCCTACTTCTGGAACATAAATGTCTGTTTGGGGGACACCATGCATGTCCATCCTACTTTTAGTTCTCAGTTATGTGAAGGAAGAAGGGTGAGTGAGGAGAGCAATTTGTTCAAGGTGCAGGCTTTTGTTAAAGGGCTAGACCATCTCTTGCAGCGGATACCAGTCCAGGCTTCAGAACTGGTCCATGACGTAACTGTTGAATTTCGTTGCTAAGAGAGGGTCATCTTCCAGTCTACTGAGCTGATGTGCTATTCAGTCTCCCTGGGCTCTTGAGAACAAGAAAGGTGGGTGCGGTTGCTCCAGCTCTGGAAATCCCTGCAGCCTACTCAATTCCATCTCCTCCAGAGCAGTGTCATGCAGGCTTCCGTCTTCCACAGCCAGAGTGCCATCAGAGAACAAAAGGTGAATTCTGGTAAAGAAACACATCAGTGATGTGTGGAATCCTTAGCCCACAGCTACCACCACTACACAGAAGGGTCCCTTCTTTGGCACCAGCCCTTTCCAGCTGTTCAACCTACATAGTACACTGAGCAGTTCTGTGTCTGCCAGTCTCTGTTCCTGAAGGAGTGTGGTCTCAGGCTTTTGGTGGGAGCTGATGTAATGTCAATCCAGTTCTCTCAAAAACTTTTACTGATGTCAATCTTCCTCTTCAGAGCTGGTAGAGCATCATAAAAGAGCGAGGTGCTCTAAGCTTTCCTACTTTCCTCCTCTCTGATTTCTAGGGTAGCTACCTGACCTCCAGGGCACATCACTGCTTAGTGCAAGGTTCTGCACAGGATGCTTTGATGGAATTGTCTTTCTGTCACTTCTCAAAGTTAAATGGCTCCCTGTTCTTGAGAAAGCTGGTAGTTGACAGAAATCAGAATCTGTGAGCAGACATTTGCAAATAAGAAAATGCAGGTGGCAAGGCACCAGATAGGTGTAGCAAGTTTTTGTGCCTTGTAGATTTCTGAAAAATCATATATCATAGAGATTTTTATCACTGTGGAATAATGTCAATTGTCCTTTAGTTTGTTGGTATTTGAGAGGTTATGTATGGTGAATTAACCTAGCAAGTATGCATGAAATACAGTGGAGCTTCCCAGCATCCTTTTTGACTCAAGGTACATGATTATGCCTATTTCATAATTCTGCTCAAAAAAAAAAAGTGAAGTTGACCTGAACAGAGATATAGGATGAACATCTCAATGTGGAGAGCGTGTCCTTCAGGCAGGGTCTAGGAAAGCTTTGCTTATGTAACCTAGCAAAGCTAGGGCTGTGGAGGAAATAGAGTTGTTCTCACTGCATTAACTGTGGGGAACTTAAGAAGCTGAGAAGAATATTGTTGGCATGAGGACAAGTGGGTATAAGCTGGTTTTAAAAAGAAAGAAATGTTAAATTTGGAAATTGGAAAAGTGTTCCTGTCAATCAGAGGAGAGAAGTTCTCTGGTGGGACAAGGAATAGTAGGAAAAAAAGATGCTTTAACAATGGATTTTGATTGAGTTTGTGAACTGAGATTACATTATGGGAGAAAAAGGGCATAATTGATGACCCAGAAGTTCTTTTTAGTCTGCTTTCATTTGCTTTGAGTCAATAGGCATAAGTGCTACATGACCTCTCTTAATTCTCTTCTCTCCAAATGTTAGAGTATGATATGTATTACAGACTCTTTCTTCTAGGAAGCACTGGGAACATCTTAGAACATCAGGAATAAGCATGTACAAATGACCATGTTTGCTCTATAGATCTGATGATGTTTTAAATGTCTGTGCTGTATTGCAGAGAGGCATGATGCCCTTTATGTGGTAGGCTCTTTGGATGAAACACTGGAGCTCAGAGGAATGAGGTACCATCCCATCGACATAGAGACATCTGTAATAAGAGCACATAAGAGCATTGCAGAATGGTAAGAGCCTCAGTATTACTTTGATGTATCCTTTTACATCCTTCAAAGTAGCAGAAGTCAAGCTCTTTGGAAAAGCATGCTAGACTGAGAGCTTGCTGTAAAGTGAACTCACCAAAACTTTGCTTAGAAACCACTGCAGTGAAATAGAAAGATTATGGTGGAGGGGTTGGTTACAGAAGCCTGGTTCTGAGCCTGCTGACCTGAACAGAAAGGCTCCTGTTGACTCCTGTGGGCTCTGACCACCCTGTGCATGGTACTAACCCAAGCAGCACAGCCCCTGTCCTGTCACAGGG